CTGTGCACGGCGGGCATGCGGCTGCTGCCCGAGTGGTGAGTTCGTGGTCCGCGTTGGGCGAACCAGGGATGCATTAGAACCTCTCAGCCCCAACAGCTGTCTCCTTGGGAAAATTGGGAATCTGGAGGGAGAATTGAGAAAGGAAAGGGCACGTTCCTGAGGCAAGCGGTGAGGGATGTAGGAGGAGGATTTGAGCATGCTGGGAGGGAGTTGAGAGGAGAGGCTTTTTGCTGAGGGTCTCAAACAGATAGGTGTATTTCTTGTCTCAAAACATGCTGGGTGCAGCAGCATGGCTTGTGGGGCTCAACGGGGGTTGCAGTGCTGGGTGATCCCTGCTATCTGTCCACCAGACTTGCTGGTGAAGGTCCCCCAGCATCTGTTCCTCTCCCATGCCCTTGCAGGCAGCAAGCTGCAATCCTGGAGGACTTGGTGAAAAACGTGCCCCTGGAGTTTGATTTCCTCTTCTCCAAATCACATGCAGAAGTAATCTCAGGGAAACAGGAAGGTAGGAGCTACCACAGAGCACTGCTTGTTGTTCTTTAGTATATTGTCATAATTACATTTTCTATCTTGTGCAGGTGTCTATGCTTGGATTGGCATCAACTTTGTCCTGGGACGGTTTGATCACGAGGATGGTGAGTCTGGCTGCTTGTAAAACAGCTGGGAGGGTCTGATCAGAGCCCTGCTGGACCTTCGCCCTAGTGCTGGAGCTAAGAGCAACCTCTGCAGTAGTCAGCAACACATGTGAAATGGATCTGGGACTTGGAGGGGCCCTTGCTCTGGTCGCAGGAACAAGTTCCTGTGTGAGGGGGCCATTTGCAGTATTTTGAGAGAAGAACTGGGGAGGGAGGGTTTGTGATAGTGTTCCTGTTGTGGCTTCCACCTGTGGATGCCTTGGGGGAACCTACAAAGCCAGGGTGTGGCCAGTCCTGAGTGCCAGGACGTGTCAGCTGTGGAGGGTAATGGTGGAAGGGAAGAGACTGCCCCAGGCCCTGCCCCTCTCTGACATGCTGCTGTGGGTTGCAGAGGAGGATGCAATGGTCACTGTGGCGCTGGGGGACCAGAGGAAGTCCCTGGTTCGGAAACGAACAGTTGGGATCTTGGACATGGGAGGTGCCTCCCTGCAGATTGCCTACGAAGTGCCCGACTCTGGAGCCATCTCCTCCCCTCAGAAGGTGCGTGTGTGCCTGGTTGGCCCCAAGAGCAGCCCCTGCCTTCCCTGGGTTGCTGCTGATCAAGGACCATTCTGCCTCTCTAGGAGGAGGCTGCTAAGAGCTTGCTGGCAGAATTCAACCTGGGCTGTGACGTGCAGCACACTGGCCATGCGTACCGTGTCTACGTCAACACCTTCCTGGGCTTTGGAGGCAATTTTGCCCGGCAGCGCTACGAGGAGCTGGTGCTGAACCAAACCTATGTCCACAATCGGTATTGCTGCCTCACCTAGCGGTGCTCCTGCTGGGGCACTGTGAAATGAGGTGCTGGTTCCTTCATGCTGCCCTCTCCCCCTTGGATTTGTCTCAAAAGCTGCCTGTGGCGATAACAGCTCCCACAGCCACGTTGGCAACCGCTGTGTGGCAGCAGCAGGTGCTTAGGCTGGCACAGGGTGCGTGGGTGCTGCCCTTTTCCAAGCCTGGCAGACATTAGCAGTGCCACAGCTCCCTGCCTTCCTCCTTCTCTCCTCATAACAGGCTACAGGGAGGCCCCCCTAGAGGCTTTTGGCTTTTCCTTCTCTGACTTTCTCTCCTTCTCCAGCACTGATTCACTCAGCACATCTTTCCATTGCATCCCCACCTCAAGCTCTCTGTGTCCTGTCTCTCCTTTCCTTCCAAGAGCACTACGTGAAGCTGTTGCCAGAGGTGGAGAGGCTTGGTGCCCAGGTACTCTGGTGCCGGCAGCAAACCCTGCCTCCAGATCCCCAGGGGCCGTGCAGGGGCACAGATCCCTGTGAGCTGGGTGGGGTGGGTTGTGCATTGTTGCACCCTGCAGGTGCTTGGAGCATGTATCTGCAGGTCAGCGTGACGGGTCTGTCGAGTTCAGCTTGGGAAGAGGTGGCAGGGCAGGTGCCAGCACTGCGGGGTACAAGGGGACACAGCCTGGTCTGGTGTAAGGGGTATCTGGATGTGGGACAGTGCTAGACTACGCTTCTGGGAGGTGATATAGAACTCCATGTGCAACTGCTGTTCCTTCCTTGACTGTTTTCCAGCCTACACAGCCAGCAGACAGGGCTAAGTCCCAAGATGCCCTTCCTGGATCCCTGCCTGCCTGTAGGGCTGGAGGATACAGTGACGAGGGGTGGCCAAACCTTGTACGTGCGGGGACGAGGGGACTGGCAGGCCTGTGCAAAGCTGCTGCAGCCCCTTCTGGCAGGGTCCAACAGCAGCCAGGACTCCCTCTTGGGTGCCTACAAAGCACCCATCGACTTTAGCAACAGCGAGTTTTATGGCTTCTCTGAGTTCTTCTACTGCACCGAGGACGTACTGCGCCTGGGGGGCCAATACAGTGCCCCCACCTTCACCTCCGCTGCCCAGGTGGGTGCTGCCCCAGGGGCTGGGAAGCTGCTGTGCCGCAGGGGCTGGGAGTGAGGGCTGTTTCTCTGCTCTGAACCCCAACTTCTCCTTCTGGCAGGAGTACTGCAGCCAGCGGTGGGAGGTGCTGACCCAGCGTTTCCGTGGTGGCCTCTACTCAGCGCACGCTGACCAGCATCGGCTGAAGTAAATAGATTTGCTGGGGGATGCTATGGCTGGACCTCCTGGGAGGCTTTTGCTGTGATAAGGGACTGGTGCAGGTGGCAGTGTCTGGCTGATGCTCCTGTGTGCTATGCCTGCAGGTATCAGTGCTTCAAATCAGCCTGGATGTACCAAGTCCTTCACGAGGGCTTCCAGTTCCCTCTGGACTACCCGAGCCTGCGCACGGCCCAGCTGGTGTATGACCGGGAGGTGCAGTGGACACTGGGAGCCATCCTCTACAAGACAAGATTTCTGCCACTCAGGTACCATTGGCTCGCTGATGGCATCACGCAGGGAAGGGTGGCTGGGGAGGAGTAGGTGTAACTGTACTAGGTGAGGGTTTTGCCATCCCCAGAAGGGGAGTGGCAGCACAGACCATGGAAGGACACTGACGACTCCTGATGTTTTCTCTCCACAGGGATCTCCGTCAGGAGAGCATCCGGCAAGCACATGCCTCCTGGCTGCGCCTCTCTTTTGTCTACAACCACTATCTCTTCTTTGCCTGCATCCTGGTGGTAGCACTGGCCATCGTCCTCTACCTCCTGCGGCTGCGCCGCATCCACCGCCGGCAGCTGCGCACGGCCCAGCACACCCTGCTCTGGCTGGACAAGGTGGTGGTGCCTCTGGGCCAGGGAAACGTGCCATGACACCGGTGGTACCCACTGTCCAGTTGCACCAGCAGAACCAGGACTGGCTGACAACCTGGGCTCTGAGGGCTTGGACTCTTTCTTGAAAACCATCTCAACTCTGCACTCCATCATCTCTGCATCAGAACCAGAGCCTGTGGGCTGAGGCACCTATGGATGCTGAAGCTTTTCTCTCCACCTTGCCCCAGTCCTAATCTTTGTATTCCTTGCCCTCTGGCCTGTGCCTCGCTAGGTGGTGTGGAGCAAAGTCCTCTGCTGCCAGCAGGGTCAAGGCTACAGCCCTGGCAGGTCCCTCAGATAACAGGACGCTATCACTGAGGCGGCCAACTGAGGACTGTGGCCCGAAGCACTGGGCCACCCCGTGACTCAGCCACAGGTTTGCAGAGCAACCTGGTGAAGTGCTGTGGTTCATCACATGGGGTGGCCTTTCTGCAGGCCCTGACAAGCCCACAGGCTGGAGAACAGCAGTCACTAGCAAAGTTACTGCAGGAACCAGGTGAGCTATGAGTTCCACCAGGCTGCTCTGCCCAGCCTGGCCCCTCTTGGAGCATTTCTGAAAAGGTATCGTGCCCTTTGCCATGTATTACCCTCCTAGGACAATCCTCATACCAGCATCCCAGAGTCAGCCCTGAGGGGTGACTGTTTGGTTCCTAAGGCACCACCAAAGCGGGCAGCCATTCCTTTCAAACATTCCCTCCTGGGCACATCTGCCCTGTGGTGTCCCGCATGTTAACTGGGCACTAGTGGCAGGACCTGTGATTCTTTCCCTCATGAGCGCAGGCTGGGCCTGCCCATGGGAGGACCACCTCCAGCCCAGCTGTGTCCCAGGACACGTCCAGGCTGTGGCTGCGCACACAAGCACAAGGCTTCCTCCTCTGGGGATGGAGCCCACTGATGGTCCAATGAACATCACTTTTTACTTGAACTCAGCTGTTCTCATTCCTGTAGCAATAAACAACTCCCTTGAGCCATCCAGCACTGGTCTTGTTTTCCAGGGAGCAGCTCTCCAGCAGCAATTGCTCCTGACTCGTGGAGTGGCGAGGGGCCGCACATCTGTGCTGCCACGGCAGGATGAGGGAACTTTCCTGTTCCCTGTTATTCCAGCAGGACAGCTGAGCTCAGCTGAGCTGGTAGCAGCACAGGGAGCTCTGGTCCAAACCAAACTTGTTATCCTTGGAGACAGCATCCGTTGCTGCCTTCCTCCTAAGAGGAAAAGCTTGCCCACTCAGAGCTCCTGAAGATATTGGTCCCTGTGTTTTACCTTATTTCCCACCCCAGTCTCACAGAGCTGCCTGGCAAAGAGGCCACTAAGCTGCTCCAGCTGCTGCACAGGCATGGGGATGGCCCCAGCATAGCTGCCTACTGTGAGGCTGGGCAGACAGCTGGTTCTCCCTCTGGCATGCGCTGTTGCCTACCTGTGACCCTGGTCCCCACAGCATGAGTGCACAGGTGGCATCAAGGATAAAATTTTCCATGCACCAGTGTGCTGCCAACCTCTGGCTCAACAACTGAGGATCCCAGCCTTGTTCTCATGCTGTAAGAGCAGTGTTAGGGGGTAGGAAAGATGTGTAAGTAAGACCAAGACTGTTCCTCAGCCTCAAAGCAGCAACTCAGCCTCCAGCATCACTTACTAGAAAAAAGATTTATTTCCACAACACAAATTGAACACAGACAAATAAATAAATACAGATAAATTATCTCATAAATAAGGGGAAACCTAAAACACAATGCCCTACTGTGTTCTTCTCACAACCTGGACCCATGACACTGTGGTGGAGATACCTAGACACTACTGCAGCTGCTTCACTTCTGAGGTGGGAGACAAAGCCCTCCTTTCATCTCCTCCAGCAGACCCCAGCACCTCCCTTATCACACCTAAGGGGGTCTGCATGTTCCTCCAGGGTCAGCCCTGTCTTCTCCCACCCACAGCCACAATCTATCTTAGTAGGGACCACCCCACCACAGAAGATGGACAGAGGTTGCAGTGGCTCCTGCGTTCTCATGCAGAGGGGAAGCTGGTGCCTGAAATGACCAGGGATAGGGCAACAAGGTGGGCAGCCTGGGCTATGAGCAGGGGTTTCACTTGTGGGCTAGGGCTGAGTGCACTGAGGGAACAGGGGGAGCACTGCTGGGACAAGATCCACTGGAACCCACCACAAACAGATCCCTTGCAGGATGGTGCTCAGTGACTGCAGCACTTAGGCAGCTGAAGGGATCTCTCCCTGGCTGCTGTCATTGCCAGCTTACTAGGCCCTTGTCCAGGGGTGCTGCCTGCCGCGCTCAGGGGCCGAGCCATCATCGGTCCAGGTCGCAGTGCTCCAGGTGCGCTGGGGCAGCGGGTCCAGCCTCTGTCCCAGCACCTCTGGGGGCTGCCTGGTACAGGAGGGTAGAGGCTGGAACAGCTGCAAGAGCTGGAGGGAGAAAGGAGCAGAAGTTAACACCCATGAGGAAGCTCCCACAAATCTAGAGAACCATGGTGCTTAGTTTGCTCAGGCCCAGTGCAGAGCCGGCAGCCCTCCACGGAGACCAGCTCACCACAGCCACAATGCACAGAAGCCCAATCATCTCCCCAAGCCTGGCAAGAGCCAGGCTGCAGCTCCCTCCCCTGCCTGACAGAGGCAGGCGAGGACATCTCTGCCACCCCAGCCCTCTGCCCACTCACGGTGATGGATTTGGCGGGGGGTCTCGGTTCAGGCGCCGGCTCCTGGGAACTAGTCACTCCCAGAGGAAGCGCACGTACCAGATGGTCTCGTTCTTCAGCTGCGGCCCGAAGAGGGGGTTAGCCTGCGCCAGGATGGCGATGAGCCAGCTGCAAAGGGACCCAACGTGCCATCAGCCCCGGTGCCACGGAGGCAGGGCCAGAGCACCCAGGGGGTGACGGGCCCGCGAAGGAGGTGGACCGCAGCCCGGGTGCCATCCCGTCCACCCACGGGAGGAGGCTGGGCAGCAGCCACTGGGCCCGGCGAAGCCAACGGAGGGCGGGGGAAGGTACTCACAAGAGGTAACAGCACACGGCCGTGGTGACCAGCATCGTGATAATCACCCTGCGGAGACACTGGCGTTAGCACGGGGAGGCCTGGCCCCGGAACCTGCCCGCCCGCGGTACCCCCGAGCCCCCACTCACCCGCGGTTCGGCCCCTTGGGCACGAACCAGGGGGCGGCGATGCCCACGAGGCCCCAGAAGGCGGAGAAGAGGACGAGCGGCAGCGCGAAACTGTGCGCCGTCATGGCCGCCCCGCTCTGGCCGCTCCGCGGGCCCAGCCCCGCCCACTGCCGCGGCACGCGGCCAATCCGCGGGCCGAACACGCCGCGCTGCCGCCAGCGCCGCCTCCCATTGGCGGAGACGCCCGGCTGCGCTCGGCTCGGCTCGGCTCCGTTCGGCCCAGCGCGGCCCGGGCCCGCCGGCGCCCCCCGCGCCCCGCTCCCGAAAGGAGCCCCAGCCACACACGGGTTCTTCCGAAAAACTCTTTTATGGTACAAAGTTTACACTCACACGCGCCGCCTCCCTGCGCCAACCCAGCCGGGCGCGCATCCCCCCGCGCACCCGGGGTGAGGGCTCTAGGCCGCCCCTGGGTCTGGCGCTGCAGCTCCCGCAGGGAGGGCTCTCCCACCGGTGGGTTACTTGGGGACTCTCCGGAGCTCACTCATGAGCCACAGGGCCATGCTGAGCAGTGCCAGGGAACCTGACTGGTGGGTAGCAGCCAGAGGTGTGGGGACATAGAGCAGCAGGGTGCTGATGCCCAGGCCCACCTGCCAAAAAGGGAGAAGACGTTAAGAGCAGCTGTGGATGCACCAGTGATACCATCCCCAGCACAAAGTGTGGTGCAGAAAGGCTCACAGCCACAGCAGGACTTCCCACCCCCAAATTCACAGTGTGCATGCAGTATGGTGAGGTGCGGGGTCTAGGCAGCTCCACCTCTCAGCTCCAATCTCTTGGGCCCAGATCCAAGCTGAGGCAACAACAACAAAAAAGGCAGTACCTGCATGCAAGCCACAGCCAGTAAGGAAGTCACAGCCATCCTGGTCCTGCGAGGGAGTGGGATTTTCCGCGAGAAGAGGTACAGTGCTGTGACAGCTGTGATGGAGGCAATTCCCTACAGAAGGGAAGGGAAACAACCACCCTTCTACAAAAGTTCAAAGGAAATGGGTGCAGTGGCCTTTGGCTGCACCTTCCACGCAGTAGAAGAAATTCTGTGCACAGTATTTAACCACAGAAACGTGTTAATGGCCATGACCAAATCCCAGAGCTCCCACACCATGAGGCTAACAACCCTGAAATTTAACTGAAGTTACAGAGAGTTTCATTTTTGCTCCAAATTAATGCTTTACTTTCCAACAACTTTTCTTCTTTTATTTATTAGGGATTATGTCTGCCCTCTTCCCAGCTGTCACCTTCACAACTGAAGGTGGAAGCTGTCATCTGGAAAACTGATTTCCTTTCCACTACTAGGCTGTAGTGCACCAGCATAATCTTGCTGTGCAGGTCAGCCCAGGTGATTCCTCCTAATCTTCTTTTTTAGCCTTAGCCATGGCTTACTTCACAGCAGTGCTGCCAGTGGTATTTAATAATCGGATTGCTCTAACTAGCTGATATTTTCACAGGGAGGGCACTACTGTGTAAAGCATGTTCAGAAATGCTGGAGGAAGCATTCACTATTGGGATTTCCAAGTTTTATTTCACACAGCTTTCCCAGACATCTCAATAGCAAGAGTTACCTCCCACTGTAGCTCACGTTATGGAAAAGGAGACACAAAGAAACAAAGTCTGTTGCTTGCGCAGGAGGAAGACCTCCTTAAGGAAGAAGGCCACATTGAAAATAAGAATGCTAAACTTCCTCTTCCTGCAGAAGCAAATTGGTAAGATGCTCTCAGGCCCTTTGGACACCCTGGAAATCACTCAAGTTGACAGAAAGAATCACAGCCTAAAGAGGACAGCTTGGCTGCAGGAGGCAACCAAGAAGCAGCCCAGACATATCAGGAAGACAGCACTTACCAAGATCCTGTGATCAAACTGTACAGTTGTAGGATTCTCAAAGATATTTCTCAGCACAGGGGAGAAGGCAAGGAGATCATCTGGGATCCATCGCTCCCCCATTTTGGGGAAGGAATTGTACACAAGGCCAGCATCCAGCCCTGCCACAAAGGCACCTGCAATTCCAGAGCAAAATATAAAGACTACCAGAGTAGGCAAAGGCGTCACTTCAGGTTGCACTGATACAAGAGCTCAGCTTGATCTTGAATTTCTTTTAGAAACACACACAGAAATCACACAGCACAGGCAGGCTGGAAGGCACATCTCCACCTGCTCAGGAAAGATCAGTAAGGACGTTCATGACTGTAAGCTCCGTTACAGCAGCAGGTTTCCCAGAGAATGTATGGGGTTGCTCACAGTCCCCACCAGATCAGAAGAAAAAGAAACAAACAGCAGAGAGGAATGAGTGGCAAATGGAACAGTAGAAAGAAAGAGCCTTACCTGAAAGAGCAGTAAGAAAAATGAGAGCTGTAGTGCCATGAGCATATTGTTTCAAGCGAAGGAGCTGATGGGTTTCAGGCAACTGTAAAATAAAAACCAAAGAAAACCAGAAAAAAATCAAGGCAAAGCATTTCCAGTACCATTGGCAGCAGCTAAGAAAAGCCTTCACTGCATATACAGGACAATGGGTTTGCCTTTATTTTACAGGAGGAATCTATAGACCACCACACAGCAGTCACACTTCAGGGGTTCCTCAAAACCACAGCTAATCAAGTCCAACCCTGAGCAGAAATTGAAGTGGCCACTGAACAGTTATTGGCACAAACCACTTAGCCCAGCCAGGCACACCCGTGCCTGAGCTGCCAGAAGTTCTAAGTCTAATCCCTTTGGAGCCAAATAGCATAAGACAAAGGAAGTGTCCCATAACCAAGAGGTTAACAGAATGGTATTTTGTACAACTGTAAGTATTTTGTAAATATTAAGTCAAAGTCAGGAACTGAGACTAAAACAGAGCACCATCCTTTCCCCACCCTTCACATCACACTCCAGACCTCTGAAATGACACTACCCTGAGCTTTTGACACCTGACACAGCACTCCATACCTTGTGTCGTGGAAGCAGCAGAGACAGCCCTGTCCACAGGCTGGCAGAGTACAGGACCAGTGCAGACCCAAGGTGTGCTGCGAGGCGGTACTGACTGACCCGAGGGATGTCGTACGAGTCTGGCTTCTCCTCCAGCCCACTCTTCACCATGTACCACCCCAGCAGCCCCTAACAGACCAGGACAGTGGTTACAGCCAAACAGGGCAGCAGCAACTATTAAGACCAGATAAACATTAGGGGCAAATCAACTTGTTTCCTCTGCTTTCAACCAGCTACCAGCACTGACACCCCCCAAGCCGTCACAAATCCCCCTGAGTCAGGTAGGCTCAGTCAGAAGATACCAAACTGAAAGATAGTGGGTTTAGATTAGATATTAGGAAAAAATTCTTTACTGTGGGGGTGGGTGAAGCACTAGAACAGTTTGCCTAGAAAAGCTGCAGATGTCCCATCCCTGGAAGTGTTCAAAGGCCAGGCTGGATGGGGCTCTGAACAACCTGTTCTAGTGAGAGGGGGGGGTTGGAGCTGGGTAATCCTTAAGGTCATTCTGTGATTCTACGATAATCCCCGTGGCTGCAAAGCCCTCTCACCTGGAAGCAGACAAGCCCACAGAGGGCGAGCACACGGCCCTTGAGGGGTCGGCTGAGCCAGCCCCTGTGCCAGAAGTAGGCTGCGGGTAGGATGTAGACCAGGCCCACCACACGGCCCCACATGCGGTGCGAGTACTCCATGTACCAAATGAACTTGAACTCTGCCAGGGTCATGTCATGGTTCAGGCTGTTAAAGACAGTAAAACAAAGAGCCTTTTCATGTGATGCAACGGCCTTACACTGAACTTTGCACGACAGAGGGTCACCTTCCTCAGAGAAAGGAAGGAGCCACCACCAGCAGGCTTTGTGTGCCTTTCTAGTGCCGTCAGCGAACATCTTCCTTCTTACAAGAGCTCCCTGAGGGGCTCAGTTGCAGGAGGGATGGTCTCAGCCCACTCTCCTTCCAATTTTGCACACTCACATTTTAAACTCCGGGAACTGCTGGTATTTCTGGAACTCAGCTTCCCACTCCTGCTGCGTCTGTGGGGGTTTCATCTCCTTCACCAGGTGCCAGTCAACCATGGAGAGGCCTGATTCTGTCAGCCTAGGGGCAGACAGAGCAGGCACAACTCACTCCCTGACAGGAGGCAAATCCACTGAGCTGAACTGAGAGCTGCTGCCTGCACAGCAACCCAAAAGCTGGACTTGGATGGTCCCTTCCGGCCCAGGATATTCTGTAGTTTTGTAATAAATCTTAAACCCGTTGCTCAGACAGCCCTTAAACTCAGAGACAGAAAGAGGATGGAAATCAGACAGTCTGTAAGTGATCAGACCTAAAATTACGACAAACGTGTAAGAGAGTCATCCCCAAGTGGCATTAACACACTCTGAAAGTCTCTCTGGTACTCCCAGCCGTACCTCACCACGTCCCTTGAACCGGGACGGACAGACACGACAGCACCCTCAGGGGCACGCTCGGGGTGGTTCCTGCTGCGGGGTCACAGAGGGTGCGGACCGCGGGGCAGCCGGCACCGCTGCCCCTAGGGGCCCCCTCTAAGTACCCGAGCGAGGCTGGCGGTGCCGCGCTCACCTGGTGACGCCGCCCAGCACCACGGCACCGGCCACGGCACCGCTGCAGACCAGGAGCCATCGCCCCACGGCGGGCGGCGGCGCGGCGGGCGGGGTGTCCCGGTGCAGCAGCTGCAGCCGGAGCCAGCGCTGCGCGGGCAGGCAGCCGCGGGCGGGGGGTGCGGGTGCGCACACCGGGAACAGCCCCCGGGCCCCGCCGAGCGCCACCCGCAGCATCCCGAGCCGCGCCGGAAGTGCGGCGGCCGGAAGCGCAGAGCGAGCTCTTCCGGGCACACCCGGGCGTCGCCATGACGATCGCGCGGCGCGTGACCGGTAGCGCGAGCAGCGACCCCCGCGCGCCGCCAGCGCAGGTGAGCGGGGCGCGCGCGGGGCGGGGGCGGGGCCCGCGGGGCGGCGGGGGCGGGGCCGAGGGGACAGGGGGCGGGGCTTTCGGGCGCCGCGCGCCGCCGGGGCGCGCCCGGCTCGCGCCTCCGTCCGCCCGCGCGCCCGCCCTCGCGCCGACGGGCGGTGAGGGCCCGGCCGCGGGGGGGGGGGCGGGACCGGAAACGGGGCCGGGGGGCGGGGCTCACGGCGGAAGCCGGGCGGGGCCGCGTGGGGCGGGGCGGCCCGGGCGGGAGACATGG